GCAGACAAAATCTGGAGCAGCTGTGCATGACAACCAATCAGCTTCTCTCTTTCAAATCTTAACTGAACAAACTGAACAGAGAAGCTGATTGGTTGCATTGGGCAACTACTCCAGTTTTGATAAATTTGCCCCAGTGTATGACCAGTTCTTGTTCGGGTTTCCTTTAGTATTTCAGAAAACATTCGTTTGGAAATAGGATAGAGGGGGAGTAGGTAGAGAAGTAGCCAGGGTGGGGGGCAGGGGAATTTGGATGAACGGGGAATGGGATTTATAGGGTTGACTGGTTATGGTGATTTAAAGATGGGGTGTAGATGGGAAGAAGATGTACAAGGTGACAGAGGGAGGGGAAAAAAGAAGGAGGGTGTGTTTTTTAAGTCACATTCTCCCCCCTGGTTGCAAAGCTGTAATATTTAAGAGGGGCTCAGGATCGGGGCCTTGGTTTCCCCGATGAAGTTGTTCATAGTGATGGGCAGACGGAAGGCAGCACTCAGTACGTAAAAGGGATTTTTTTCAAGTAAGCTTTGATTGCAATATCAGACACAACTCTCATATGATTTCCTATTACAATGCTGATGTTATAACAGGAGAGGATACAATGTATATACTTATAATACAAGTTGTAGGATACAACTCCTTTAAGGGAGGCTGTGACATACTTGGTGGGTCTGATTGACCCCATAGAGAGGGTATACATGCTCATTTTCCCTCTTTTTCAGTTCCAGTGACATTGGTCCCCAGAACAAATAGGAAGAGTGAACCTCCCCAGCAGAGAAGCAAGAAGAACAAAAAAAAAAATCTGGGCGTTGGACGCTGATGCTTTATCAAAAAGAAAGAAGACTTTAGTTAAGCCTAATGGCTTGGGTTCGGCATCTCTAAAGGATTGGGGTCCCCCAATTTAAGCAATCCAGGTAAAGTTGTACCACAAAAGCACCAAATGATCTTCTTGAGGGTCCAAACAATCTTATCTTATCGACAAATGGTAAAGAGATGGCCAACGTATTTCGGAGGCCAGGGCCACAAAAATATACGGAGCATTAAGACCTAAGACATACGAAAAATGTTCTGTCCATGTTTACTAAGGGCAGATTACTAGCGCTCCTTCTACTTCCTGGAACTCTGGCACATGTGACTAGACATGTGACTAGGACATGTGACCATGCACATCATCTCAGGGTAGGAAAATGCCTTTCCCTGAGATCATGTGAGATTAAAGATGAGATTTCCCAGCAATGCTCTGCTGATGACAAGGCAATCCCAGTGTGAATTGCTTTGGAAAACCGAAGTCATTTTGGCCTTTCACAGCAGGAACTGAATGTTTTGGAAGTGTAAGTATTTCCCAATCACAGCACTTTACACCTGACATGTCTATGTTATTATTAATCATCATACATAGAGGGATGCATTGGTAGAATTGGATGTTTGAGATTAAAGGTCCACTTTCATGCTTTGTACATTTGTGCAGCCCTGTCCCCCGAAACACATCGGCCAGCTTTTTACTATTTGGGGATATAATAAAATAATTTGGACTCTTAAGTTGGTGGTTTGTCTTTTTTTGGCATGACAGTACAAGTAGTAACAACCTGACAGGAGGTTTAACCCCTCACCACTGTATCCAAAACGAGACAAAAGTCAGCTTTACATGCAATTTAACCCTTAGCATACTGCTGCGAATGCTTTCAGATTTTCCCTAAGCTACCCCTTTAAATGTACAGTATGTGTAGTAAGTAAGAGTGAATGAGAAAGGTTATAAGAGGTCATGTTGAAGTCCCGTGGCCTCTATACAAGAACTTAGCCTAAAGTCTTTAATGTGTGGTCACAGACTTCTTGTAGCAATCCTATATTTTACAATAAAATGTGCATTTTTTTTTCTCCAAAATATTCCTTTATTTAATGATAGCACCTAAATACAGAAAGGAATACTGCAGGACCAAGAGGCAAAGCAATCGACAGACCCTTAATAATAAATGGGGCCCGGGCAGCGCACCTCCAGATGCCACATTAGTGAGAGCTCTGTATAATACAGCACAGGTAATCAGACAAGTGAGGATCCTGTCTTCAGACTTTTGAGGAGTGTTGTTGTGTGCACAGGTTTTAATGGACCTG